CTCCTCTCAAACAAGCAGCACTGAAAGCAGTTAAATTTAAACAAAGCTTATCCTGAAGCAGAAGGAAACAAATGGATTCCTGCTTCCTCAACTTCTGTGAGAAACAGAACTTCAAGGATGAAATTGTCCTGAATGAAATCCTTCACTTGGGTGACTGACAATATGGTGTTTGGGGAGGACATTGGCAGGGGTTGGAGGCTACATGCCCACTGTAGCCTGCAATGTCCTTGGAGGGAGGTCATTAGTAGCTCTTCAGCACTGTGGGTTATAGCTGTTTGTGAAGGCGGGAGGCTGTCTGTGTAAGTGGACACCTCTGCCACATACACATTTTCACTTTTATTATGTGTATAGATTATTATTATTATTATTATTATTATTGACACAAAAGCACAGTATGTCACAGCAAACGAGATCTATATGCTGGATTTTGTATCACAAAATCACAAGTCGAACACTTCCCAAGCATCTAGGACTGTGATGTATTTTTGAATGTATTATTATTATTATTATTATTATTATTATTATTATTATTATTATTATTATTGTGGCTTAAGGCGGGGTACGACATTGTTAAAACAAAGAGATAGAACACGATTAAAATACAAGGTACACATAAGTGAAAATGCAGGTTAAAATTCAGGTGTTTCATTAAAAATGTTCACTTTTACAGGCAGCGGGTGCGAGAGAAGATTGAGCGAGACAAAGCTGAAAGAGCCAAGAAGGTGAGTGAGTAAAGTGGAGAAAATAGGGGGAAATGGCGAGGAAAAAAGGGCAGGTTGAGCTTTGAGATGTGGAGCTGCGGTTCCATTTTTTACCCTTCTAAGCTTGGCCCGCTATGTTTCTTTTGAATGAGGAAATAAAAATGTTTATAGCAAATTTATTTTTATTGGTTTCTCAACCTGGGGTTCGTGAGGGGGTGTCAGAGTGGTCGCCAAAGTCCATCAGAAAACAGTATTTTCTGTTGGTCATGGGGGTTCTGTGTGGGAAGTTTGGCCCAATTCTGTCATTGGTGGGGTTCAGAATGCTCTTAGATTGTAGGTGAACTATAAATCCCAGAAACTACAACTCCCAATTTTTTTTGAGTGAAGGACGTACATTGTTGTTAGGTGTATTGTGTCCAAATTTTGGTGTTAATTTGCCCACTGGTTTTTGAGTTCTGTTAATCCCACAAATGAACATTACATTTTTATTTATATAGATTATTTAGGTGAACTCTAAATCCCAGCAGCTACAACTCCCAAATGTCAAGTTCTATTTTCCCCAAACTCCACCAGTGTTCACATTTGGGCATATTGAGTATCCATGCCAAGTTTGGTCCACATCCATCATTGTTTGAGTCCACAGTACTCTCTGGATGTAGGTGAACTACAACTCCAAAATTCAAGGCTAATGTCCATCACACCCTTCCTGTATTTTCTGCTGATCATGGGAGTTCTGTGTGCCGAGTTTGGTTCAGTTCCATTGTTGGTGGAGTTCAGAATGCTCTTTGATTGTAGGTGAACTATAAATCCCAGCAACTACAACTCCCAAATGAGAAAAGGAATCCCCTCCCAACAACACCAGTATTCAGATTTGGGCATATGGGGCATTTGTGCCAAATTTGGTCCAGTGAAAGAAAATCCATCCTGCGTATCAGATATTTACATTACGATTCATAACAGTAGCAAAATCACAGTTCTTAAGTAGCAACGATAATAATAATAATAATAATAATAATAATAGTAATAGTAATAGTAATCTTTATTTATACTCTGCCACCATCTCCCCGATGGGGACTTGGAGCGGCTTACATGAGGCCAAGCCCAAAACAACAATTACAATAAAGAAAAAGCAAGACACAACCGAAAACGTGAACAATCTATATAAATAAAAATATTTCTGTGGGATTAACAGAATTCAAAAACCAGTGGGCGAATTGACACCAAATTTGGACAGTATAGACCTTACAACCCAATGTATGTCCTTCACTCAATTTTTTTTATTTTGTCATTTGGGAGTTGTGGTTGCTGGGATTTATAGTTCAACTACAATCAAAGAGCATTCTGAACACCATCAATTATGGAATTGAACCAAACATGGCATACAGGACTCCCATGACCAACAGAAAACACTAGAAGGGTTTGTGGGCAGTATCCTTTGGTTTTGGAGTTGTAGTTCACCTACATCCAGGGATCATTGTGGACTCAAACAATGATGGATCTGGACCAAACTCTACACAAATACTCAATATGCCCAAATGTGAACACTGGTGGAGTTTGGGGAAAATAGAATCTTGACATTTGGGAGTCGTAGTTGCTGGGATTTATAGTTCACCTACAATCACAGAGTATTCTGAACCCCACCAACAAGAGAATTGGGCCAAAACTCCTACACAGAACCCTCATGACCCCCAGAGTGGGCCACAGCAATGCATGGCAGGGGACGGCTAGTAAACAATAACATCATAATTACATAAAACATATGGATACATAGTAATGTAAAAATTACAATAGACACAGGCACAGTAACAATATGCGGGCCACATGTAATGATTAAAAGACAAACTGATTAAAACTAATTAAAAACTCGGGGGAGATAAAAGAGAGAAGCAGATAATTTGCAGAGGAGGGCTCATCATGGCAGGGGTTAATGTTATGGAGAACTGAGGAACTGTGTTAAGGGGTCGCGGCATTAGCAAGGTTGAGAAACACTGCTCTAGAAGACTTTTGTTTGTGTGCCTTTATTTCTTACTTATGACCACCCCAGTGGGGTTTACTTGGCAAGACTTGTTCCAAAAGTCAAACCACAGAAGTGGAGAAGGGGGCTGTTCCACTTTCGTATTCTGCATTTGTATTTGCAACGCTTTCTCTTCCCCCATTTCAATCCAGTTTGGCGGTGGCTCCTCGCAAGAATCTCTCCCAGTGGAGCCTGCAGCTCCCACACCGGTTCCCTCCTCTCCCAGCCAGGAGCCTCCAATCAAGCGGGAATACGATCAGTGCCGGATACAGGTAATTCCCTGACTTCTTTTCCTGTATAGCTTTCATTTCCAGGGCCATGTTAGTCTGATGCAGGAGGAACGAAAAATAGACCTGTGGCTTGTGTTGTCGAAGGCTTTCATGGCTGGAGTCACTGGGTCTCTGTGAGTTTTCTGGGCTGTCTGGCCATGTTCCAGAAGCATTCTCTCCTGACATTATGCCCACCATCTCGGGCCCTCCAATCTCTCGCCACTAGTGAGTACAAGGGAGAGAGCCTTTTCCGCTGTGGCTCCCCGACTCTGGAACTCACTACCTGGAGAAATTAGGAAAGCCCCTTCCCTAGAAATTTTCAAAAAGAACCTTAAAACCTGTCTCTTCCGCTGCACCTTTGATGAGTAGGTATATAATCCCACATTATTGCTCTGCCTTAAAGTTCTGTCATTGGAGTATACATCCCCCCTCATGGGAAAACTTGATTCCAGAACTCCCGCTAAAATGAGCCCTCCTCCATAAATTACCTGCTTCCCTCTTTTATCTCACCTGAGTTTTTAATTAGTTTTAATCAGTTTGTCCTTTTATTTCATGTTGCCCGCCCATTATTATTGTGCCTGTGCATTTTTTTATTGTTATGTATTCATATTTTAATGTAACTATGATGTTATTGTTTATTGTTCACATTTTCTGTTTGTGTTTTTGGTTTTTCTTTATTGTAATTGTTATTTGGGCTTGGCCTCATGTAAGCTGCTCTGAGTCCCCATTGGGGAGATGGTGACAGGGTAATAAATAAAGATTATTATTAATAATATTATTAATATTATTATTATTATCGCAGCTTCAAAGCTTGGCTGCTTCCTGCCTGGGGGAATCCTTTGTTAACTGAACCTGGTTGTTTCATGTCTGTAATTCCCCTGTTGCTCTTTATTTACTGTCCTGATGTTAGAGTTTTTTTAATACTGGAAGCCAGTCTGTGTTCATTTTCATGGTTTCCTCCTTTCTGTTGAAATTGTCCACATGCCTGTGGATTTCAGTGACCATTCAGAGAAGTCAGTCATAGCAGAGCACCCGATGAACCAACCTAGACACAGCATATTATTTCAAAACACAGAAATGCTGGGCTAGTCTAACAACCAATACAAAAACTGCAGATTGCAAAACACAATTTCTATATTACAGGAAATTCTTCATTAAATGTAACATGGAAACATTAACATGATTAATTAGTAACTGTTTATAAATGAAAGATTGTTTATTAATATTTTGTCAACACAATGAAACTTAAGCTTCCAAAATAACAATTACTATATACCAGGAGATTCTTCACAAGGACATGATGTTAGAAATAGTAACTCAAATATTGTTAAATGCAATATAATGAAATTTCAGCTTCCAAAATCCATCTAAAACACAGACATGTGCTTTTCACCTTAAGAACAGACAAGCATCCCGAGCTTACATTTAATGAAGGAATTCCTGTAATATAGAAATTGTGTTTTGCAATCTGCAGTTTTTGTATTTGTTGTTATAGATATCTGTGCACGTTACACTACTCTAACAACCACCATGTCAGGCTACACAGAGAAGCCACTGAAATCCACAAGAAGCATGTGGACAATTTCAACAAAAAGGAAGAAACCATGAAAATGAACAAAATCTGGCTACCACTACTTTAAAAAACCTTTAAAATCAAGATAGTAAATAAAGAGCAACACTGAGAAAACTGGGGAAATCCAGATAGGAAACAATCAGGGTTACCTAACTCCTCGCAACAAAAGAGTCCCCCAGGCACAAAGTAAACAAAGGACAGTAAATAAAGAACAACACTGAGAAAACAGGGGAATTCCAGACAGGAAACAATCAGGGCTACCTAACACCTCCCAACAAAAGCAGCCAGGGTTTGAAACTGTAAGGCTATTCAATACTAATCAAGGTGGCCAAGCGAAACATTCACACCTGCCTCCAACAGACAAGTGTTCTTTCTCCCACCCTGGACCTTCCACAGATATATAAACCCAATGTTCCTAGTTTCCAACAAACCTCACAACCTCTGAAGATGCCTGCCATTGATATGGGTGAAACATCAGGAAAGAATGCTTCTGGAACATGGCCAGACAGCCCAGAAAACTCACAGCAACTCAGTGATTCCAGCCATGAAAGCCTTTGACAGCATGATGATGATGATGATGATAGGGTGTTCTCCTGACATTAAGTTCAGCCTTATCTGTCTCTGGGGGTTGGTGCTCATTTCAATTTCTAAGCTGAAGAGCCGGCGTTGTCCGTAGACACCTCCATGTGGCCAGCATGACTGCATGGAGCGCTGCTACCTACCCGCTGGAGCGGTACCTATTTATACCACAGACAAAATGTAAATAGTGAGTATACAAACTAGGAGAGATCTGAAACCTACCCCAAAGTATTTGGGCTGCCAACTCTATCCAAGAGTGCATCTACACAAGGCATGGGCCAACTTCGGTACTCTCTCCAGGTGTTTTGGACTACAACTCCCACAGTTCCAAACAGCTGGTAGGCTGTGTTGTTGGAGGCTTTCATGGCCGCAATCACTGAGTTGCTGTGAGTTTTTCGGGCTGTATGGAGAATACTTCTGGAACATGGCCATGCAGCCCGAAAAACTAGCAGTGACCCAACTGTTGGGAATTGTGGAAGTTGGAGTCCTGAAGTTGGCCCATGCCTTTGTCCTCTTGGAACTGGGCACTTAAGTCAATCAAGGGATCATCTGTATACCCACATTGTGGGAGTTTGAATCCAATACTACTAATAATATTGCAGTATAATGGTATAGTACAGTATAATAATATATAATATTAATATTGTATTATGCTAATATATATATATATATATATATATATATATATATATATATATATATAAAAATACATATTATAATGTAATGTAATATAATACAGTAATAATACAATATAATATATAATAATATTGTAATATACACATTTTAAATATAATACTACTAATAATATAATATGTAATGATGTCATTTTATTATTGTGTTTTTGTATAATTTAAGTTGTAATGTTTTTGAATGTGAGCCGCTTTGAGTCTTTGTATGGAGCGATAAAGTGGGATATAAATAAATAATAATAATAATAATAATACTCACATTTGCATGTTTTGGAACTGCTCGGTTGACAAAAACTGGGCTAATAGCGGGAGCGCACGCCATTCCCCGGATTTGAACATTTGATCTTTCGATCAGCAAGTTCAGCAGCTCAGTGGTTCAGGGGCTCCGATGATGATGATGATAGGCTGTGGGTTCTTAGAAGGCCATAGACACAAATCCCAGCTCTGGTTCAAGCTTCAGATTGAAGTTAATTGAAAATGTGAAAGAAGACATTGAAATCTTCCATCTTGTGGGTGAACAGAAGGATGGATAGGGAAGAGGACTCAAGGCTGAAACCTATCATGAACCATCTAGTAGTATTTCCCTCTCCAAAATACAACCAGCCCGCCTTGCACGTTACAACCATCTGCTTCTTTTGCAGGTAAGACTGCTCGATGGCACATCCCTCACTCAGACATTCAGAGCCAAAGAACAGCTGGCTGCTGTCCGACTTTATGTGGAGCTCAACCGCAAGGACGATGCCGAGGAGCCTTTTATCCTCCTCACCAGCTTCCCCCGCCGTGTCTTCACTGAAGAAGACATGGAGAAACCCCTGCAGGAGTTGGGTGAGTCTGGGAATGACACATTCTGCTTCTTGCTGTGGCCTTAAGTGGTTTGTAAAATATTCCATATGGTTTGAGAAGGTTCACTCTCTTGGATCTCCAGACAGTACCAGAGCTTGAAAATGAGCCTTTTATATATAGACTAGCTTGGGTACCCAGCGTTGCCTGGGTTATTTGAAAAAGTCATCTTTAATTCACAAAATGAATAAGTTTGTGAGTGAACTACAACCCCCTGAAACTCCATCAATACTTAAAGTTTGTCATGTTAGGCAAGTTTGCGCTAGATGCATCATCGGTGGGATTCAGTGTGCTCTCTGGCCGTAAGGTAAACTACAACTCCCATTATGGTGAGTCTGTCCCCTCAAACTCCTCCAGCAGGTTGAGTTAGTCATGAGGACCAAACTATTGCCAAGTTTGGTCCAGGTCCATCATCACAACCGTTTCTCTGGTTGTGGATGAACTAATAATACAGTAATAAAATCGAAACATAAACAACAAGCAATTACAACATCATCAGAATTACATAAGAGAAGGAAGGAAAAAAGGCAATCATAAAATAACATTCTAATAAAGACAATTACAGTAACGATAACAATGGGCGGGCCGCATATACAAGATAAAACAATTAAAAAACTGTAATGAGATAAAATAGGAGCAGGACATTTACGGGGAACTCATAAAAACACAGAGTTGTTAGGCTAAACTTCCCATTTGGAGGGTGCGTGATCCAGTAGCAAAAAACGTTGGGGGTGCCAAATGTCATGGTGTGCACCTACTCACCAAAGACACAGCAGAAGAGCCAGGTTTTAAGGTTCTTTTTGAACGTTTCTAGTGAAGGGGCTTTCCTGATCTCTCCAGGTAATGAGTTCCAAAGTTGGGGAGCCACAGTATACAAGTCTCCCAAATAAAGGCGAATTTCCACTAAAGACCTTCAGTATTTTTTGTTGGTCATGGAGTTGTGTGTGCCAAGTAAGTTCCAGGTCCATTGTTGGTGGAGTTCAGGGTGCTCTTAGATTGCAGGTGAACTATACATCCCAGGACCTACAACTCTTATAAATCATGGTGAATTCGCCCCAAACCTCTCTAGTATGTTCAGTTGCTGGTCAATTCCTCTGTTTGCTGTGCCATAAAAAAGAATAGGAAAGGGTTAAGGGAGAGGCAGTGGGCGGGGTCATGCAGATTCTACACCAATGGAGAGAGTCAGAAACACTGGGATGTCTGTGGTGGAGGAAAAACATAACATCTAGAGTGAAATTGTTCCTGTATGAAAGCCTTCACTAGAGTGGTGGGCTGTGTGGTGTTTGTGGAGGACATTGGCAGGGCTTTTGGACATGTTCATGGCGCTCGCTATAATCTGCAACGTCACTGGAAGGAGGGCCATTGGTGTCTCCAGCGTGGTGGGAGCTGTAAGTGTTTGTGGAGGCAGGAGCTTGTCTGTGTAAGAGGACACTCCAGCCACATGCACACACATATATTTTCAGTTTTATTATTGTATAGGTAACAGCATTCAAAATCATTTCCAATCATTGGTGTCAATATAAGGCTGGCTTGGTGTAAGACACCTATACCTTATGAGTGTATAACCTGTTTATTCCCTTATGTAAACCTTATACTGTTAAATATTGTAAAGAATTGGTTGTGTTTATGTCAGGTAAGTACAAAAATGTTTGCCTTGGTGAAATATATTTTCTACCTGCCTCATTTATTTATTTATTTATTTACTTACTTACTTACTTATGACATTTATATGCAGCCCTTCTCACCCTGAAGGGCTTACAAGTAAAAAGTAAATACAATAAATTAAATTATTACCATAGCACAATATTAATATTATATACTGTAATATTATTAGTAATATTACATTTAGGTTCTTGTGGGTTTTTTCGGGCTATAGAGCCATGTTCTAGAGGCATTTCTCCTGACGTTTCGCCTGCATCTATGGCAAGCATCCTCAGAGGTAGTGAGGTCACCTGAGGATGCTTGCCATAGATGCAGGCGAAACGTCAGGAGAAATGCCTCTAGAACATGGCTCTATAGCCCGAAAAAACCCACAAGAACCTAGTGATTCCAGCCATGAAAGCCTTCGACAATATTACATTTAATATAAAATATATAATTATAATATCATATTATTATTAGTAGTATATTGTATTACATTATAATACTATCAATATTATATGTATTTGCAATAATATTATATTATAAGCAGAGTGCAGGAGACAAGATGGAACTGCCTTCATGGCCCCTCTCTTCACTCTGATCTCAGATAATTGGTTGGTGCTGGGGGGGGGAGGGGCTCCCAACTGATGACACTGGAGGCAAGATGGACTACTTTAGCTGGACTACTTCCCCTTAGTTTATTGTTGTTGTTATTGTTTCCCATCCCAATTATATTCTTGTATCCTCCCCAGGTTTGGTGCCTTCGGCTGTGTTGATTGTGGCCAGGAAAGGCAACAGCTGAGCTGCTGCTCCCCTTCTCTCTCAGCACGTCTCAGCTCTCCTTTCCTCTTTTTTTTGTTTTGTTTTGTTATTTTGCTGCTGATCTTTCCTTGTGGTCCATCTCCGGCTGCCTTCCCACAGCCTCCTTGCTTTCCCAACCAGCTCCGGCTGCAGAGACTCTGGAGTATATCTCTTGGGCTGGGATTCAGAAATCAATGGTGATGGATGGGTGCCAAGGTGGGATTCTCCGCTGCTGCTGCTGCTTTGTGTGGTGCGGCAGGCCTGAAGTTTGATCCCCCCCTCCGTGGCCCACCATGAAATAATAAATCTCTTTCTTCTCTTTCTGGTGATGTCTTTTTTACCCCCAATCTGGGTGCTGGGACCCCTTAGGGGGTGTCAGAGGGGTCGCAAAAGACCATCAGAAAACACATATTTTTGATGGTCTTAGGAATCCCTTTGGCATAGTCGTTTTGGTTCACAGTGCTCTCCAGATGTAGGTGAACTACATCTCCCCTAAATCAGTTAATTCATCCAAAATCAGTAAGGCCTTTGACAAGGTCCCCCATGACCCTCTGACAAACACACTAGTCCAAATTGGGAAACAAGTCATCCAGGAATACCTGGCCGCTCTAAATGAGCTTAAGTCCCCAGGGCCAGATCAACTACACCCAAGAGTATTGAAGGAACTAGCAGAAGTCATTTCGGAACCATTGGCAATCATCTTTGAGAGTTCTTGGAGAACGGGAAAAGTCCCAGCAGATTGGAGGAGGGCCAATGTGGTCCCAATCTTCAAGAAGGGAAAAAAGGATGACCCAAACAATTACCGTCCGGTCAGCCTCACGTCGATACCAGGCAAGATTCTGGAAAAGATTGTTAAGGAAGTGGTCTGCAAACACTTAGAAACAAATGCGGTCATCGCTAATAGTCAACATGGATTTATCAAAAACAAGTCATACCAGACTCATCTGATCTCTTTTTTCGATAGAGTTCCAAGCTGGATAGATGCGGGGAATGCCGTGGATGGAGCGTACCTGGATTTCAGGAAGGTATTAAGGGGTCGTGGCATTGGCAAGGTTGAGAAGCATTGCTTTATCTGAACCAGGGAAATGACTGTGGCCCATATCATACACTGATTATATACTTCTTTACTTTGAAAGATTATTCATGTACATTACATGGATGTAAACATCCTATACATCATAGGTGCAACATACACCACAGCCTCTACCAACAGGGAATGTTGGCAGTAAAGAAAGTCAGAAGGGAGTGCCACTGCCTTGAAGGGGCCTTTTCTCCATTTGACTTTTTTGACACTGGATCGGCAAAATGTAGTGTCGACTGCTCATTTGACGTCTTTCTTCAGCTTCCCAGCTGGGTCAATCATTACAACCACACCCCAACATATAAGACCTTTGGAAGAAAGAAAGGAAAACATTAGCAGCAAATATGTGATATATGGTAATACAACATATATTACAGACATATAATATCTCTCATTCACACACACAGACAGACATACTAGATTGGGTACCCAGCGTGGCTCAGGTTATTTGAAACAGTCATTTTTTTCATAAGGTTGTGGGTGAACTACAACTCACATCATGCTAGTTTAACCCTGAGAAACTCCATCAGTACTTAAGTTTGTTATGTTGGGCAAGTTTGCTCTAGATCAGTGGTTCTCAACGTCTGGGTCCCCAGATGTTTTGGCCTTCAACTCCCAGAAATCCTAACAGCTGGTAAACTGACTGGGATTTCTGGGAGTTGTAGGCCAAAGCACCTGGGGACCCACAGGTTGAGAACCACTGCTCTAGATGCATCGTGGGTGGGGTGCAGTGTGCTCCCTGGGTAAACTACGACTCCCATTGTGGTGAGTCAGTCCCCTCAAACCCTTCCAATAGATTGAGTTAGTCATGGGAGTTCTGTGTGCCAAGTTTGATTCAGGTTCATCATTGGTGGAGGGCACCGTTTCTCTGGTTGTGAGTGAACTACAACTCTCAGAAAAGGTCAGTACCTCCCTAAACCCAGTAATCAAATTTCACCATATCAGGTCCGTGTACAAAGTTTGGTCCCGATCCATCGGTGTTGGTTCACAGTGCTCTCTGGATGTGGGTGAACTACAACTCCCCCAAATTAAGGTTACTTTTCCCCAAAGACCTTCAGTATTTTTTGCTGGTCATGGGGGCTCTGTGTGCCAAGTTTGGTCCAATTCCAACTGGTCCAATGAACAGCAGCCAGGATGTTAACTGGCGCTCCTTACAGAGAGAGGTCAACCCTCCTGTTCAAGGAGCTCCACTGGCTGCCGTTTATCTTCCGAGCCCAATTTAAGGTGCAGGTGCTTACCTACAAAGCCCTAAATGGTTTGGGACCACCCTACTTGCGCGATCGCATCTCCGTCTACGAACCTACACGTTCACTTCGTTCATCTGGAGAGGCCCTGCTCGTGATCCCACCTGCGTCACAAGCGCATTTGGTGGAGACACGAGACGGCCTTTTCCGTGGTTGCCCCCGACTTTGGAACATCCTCCCCAAAGATCTTAGACAGGCCCCTACATTGGCAGTCTTCAGAAAGAACTTGAAGACCTGGCTGTTCCGATGTGCCTTCCCAGATTAGGAATCCTCCAATACCAAGTCCCAGAAGCACTTTATTAAAGCTAAGACCGCCGCACACCGCACACTGCACTTGCCCACAAGCCTCATATTCCACCCGTCACATCAGCACTTTTAACTCTTGTACCCTTACTCTGGCCCGGCCCAGTTTTATCATGTCTTAGTGGATTGTTCATTGTTTGTTGTTTAGATTGCTTTAATTGTTTTAATTTGCCTTTGGTTTGTATTGTTGTATTGTGTGTTGAGGCCTTGGCCTTTGTAAGCCGCATCGAGTCCTTCGGGAGATGCTAGCGGGGTATAAATAAAATTTAATAATAATAATAATAATAATAATAATAATAATAATAATAATTCCATCTTTGATCGATTGCAAGTGAATCATAAATCCCAGTACCTACAGCTCCAGAATGTCCAGGTCAATTCCATGGCTCCGTGCTATGGGATATTGGGAGTTATAGTTATGTGTTTTAGTGTATTGTGCCTGTTGTATAATCATAGAATCAAAGAGTTGGAAGAGACCTGGCGGGCCATTATCCAGTCCAACCCCATTCTGCCAAGAAGCAGGAATATTGCATTCAAATTACCCCTGACAGATGGCCATCCAGCCTCTGTTTAAAAGCTTCCAAAGAAGGAGCCTCCACCACACTCTGGGGCAGAGAGTTCCACTGCTGAACAGCTCTCTCTCACAGTCAGGAAGTTCTTCCTCATGTTCAGATGAATCTCCTCTCTTGTAGTTTGAAGCCATTGCTCCTAGTCTCCAGGGAAGCAGAAAACAAGCTTGCTCCCTCCTCCCTGTGGCTTCCTCTCACATATTTATACATGGCTATCATATCTCCTCTCAGCCTTCTCTTCTTCAGGCTAAATATGCCCAGCTCCTTAAGCCGCTCCTCATAGGTGTTTAGTGTATTGTGCCTGTTGTTTATTTTGCTTTATTCTGTTTTAATTGTTTGATTTGCTTAGATTGTATTGTTGTGTTGTGTGTTGAGGCCTCGGCCTGTGTAAGCCGCATCGAATCCTTCGGGAGATGCTAGCGGGGTACAAATAAAGTTTAATAATAATAATAATAATAATAATAGTTTCACATGGTCTCTGTTCACCTTTTCCTGGGTGCAGTTCGATCCCACTTCGAACTGCAGTGGCACCCTAAAAAGGATCTCTAGTGTGGTCCCAGCACTGTGTTGCAGGCCTTGGGAAATGACAACTCCAAGGGGAACCAACCCGCATTCATTCTGCAGTGTAGACGCACCCTTAGAAATCCCCAATCACTGCTAAAATCAGTTTCAATGGAGATCAGGAGCCCTTGTGCTGGCAGGACTGAAGACCGACTGGTCAGAGGTTTGAATCCGGGGAGCGCGGAGATGAGCTCCCTCTGTCAGCTCCAGCTCCCCATGCAGGGACATGAGAGAAGCCTCCCACAAGGATGGTAACACATCAAAACATCCGGGCAGCGTCCCCTGGGCAACGTCCTTGCAGACGGCCAATTTTCTCACACCAGAAGCGACTTGCAGTTTCTCAAGTCTCTCCTGACACGACCACAAAAAAAGGCGCACCTACCGAAGGCGAAGGTGATCTGGGTGACCTGCCACATGTTCGGAGGCACCCTCCGCTGCTGCATGATTTTCCGGGGCCCCAAATACACCCAGACGCCGGAGCCGATGAGGGCGGCGCCGCTGATGAGCCGGCAGCTCAGGCAGGACCAGAACGGGCCCTTGGCGGGCGAGGCGGGCGAGGCGGAACCCGCGTCCTCGGGCGCCATTTTCCCCTCCGGAAGGAAGAAAGGAGGACTACCGGAAGTCGCTTCAGACAGCTGGACCCAGCATGCTAGCCACGCCTTATTGTTTTGGTCCCCTGACAGGAAGAAAGCGTGAGGCGCAGCGCTGTAAATAGGTCCGGCGGTCAACCCGACCCAGTCTATTTGGTTCCGCCTTAGGGCTTGCTAATATTGAACCATGATTTTGAGGCGGAATTTCTTTGAATCCGTCGGCACTGAATCAAACCTAGAGTTGGAAGAGACCTCATGGGCCATCCAGGCCAAACCCCTGCCTAGAAGCAGGAATGTTGCATTCAAATCACCCCTGACAGATGGCCATCCAGCCTCTGTTTAAAAGCTTCCAAAGGAAGAGCCTCCACCACACTCCGGGGCAGAGAGTTCCACTGCTGAACGGCTCTCACAGTCAGGAAGTTCTTCCTCATGTTCAGATGGAATCTCCTCTCTTGTAGTTTGAAGACATTGTTCCACGTCCTAGTCTCCAAGGAAGCAGAAAACAAGCTTGCTCCCTCCTCCCTGTGGCTTCCTCTCACATATTTATACATGGCTATCATATCTCCTCTCAGCCTTCTCTTCTTCAGGCTAAACATGCCCAGCTCCTAAGCCGCTCCTCATAGGGCTTGTTCTCCAGACCCTTGATCATTTTAGTCGCCCTCCTCTGGACACATTCCAGCTTGTCAATATCTCTCTTGAATTGTAGTGCCCAGAATTGGACACAATATTCCAGGTGTGGTCTAACCAAAACAGAATAGGGGGGTAGCATGACTTCCCTAGATCTAGACACTATGCTCCTATTGATGCAGACGGCCCTCCAAGGTCATTTACCCGGCCCTCGCTCAGGTCAACCTAAGTCTGAAATGACTTGAAAGCACACAACAACAACAGCAATCCTAACTCGTCAGCCAAAAGCAGGCCCACACTTCCCATTGAAATACTAATAAGTTTATATTTGTTAAAATTGTTCTTACTTTTTAATTATTGTATTGTTTTTAAGTGTATTTGCACTTAAAGTGTGCATAGGAATTCATTCAAGTTTTTTTCAAATTATAATCCAGCCCTCCAACAGTTTGAGGGAATATGACCTGGCCCTCTGTTTAAAAAGTTTGAGGGCCCCAGATCTAGACACTATGCTCCTATTGATGCAGGCCAAAATCCCATTGGCTTTTTTTGTTGGCTCATGTTTAACTTGTTGTCCACAAGGACTCCAAGATCTTTTTCACACATACTGCTCTCAAGCCAGGCATTGTCCCGCATTCTGTATCTTTGCATTTCGCTTTTTCTGCCTACGTGGAGTATCTTGACATAACGCACTGGAGACATAATGCAATGTGGCCCTGCCTTGGCTCCATGCAATGGAATTATAGGAATTGTTTGGTGGAAGCATTCTGATATAAGAATCAGAATGCTTTAAGACAGAAGCAGAAAAGGATGCATTTCATTCAGTACCTTTCTCTCTGCAATGATATTACTGCAGATATTATTAGACATTATCATTATTACTATTACTTTGTTACTACTGCCGTTGTAATTGTGTAACAACACAATTTAAAACCGACAAATTTATTTATGTATTTATTTATTGCATCAGGAGCAAACCAAGGTTAAAGTTCTATTTTTAAAAACCCACAAAGTTTGAAAACTTGACATTATGATGTCGAACACGAATTTAGTGGGCCCTGCCAAGGTAGATGCCGATGAGACCAAAGTGAGGATCCGCAACACCTGGCAAGACAAATAAGCACCAATAAAGATTTTCCCTATTTCCCAATAAATCTCACCAAGTTTTCTTCTCGGTCAGGGAAATCATAGAATTATAGAGTTGGAAGAGATCTCATGGGCCATCCAGTCCAACCCCATTCTGCCAGGAAGCAGGAAAATCACATTCAAAGAACCCCCAACAGATGGCCATCCAGCCTCTGTTTAAAAGCCTACATAGAAGGAGCCTCCACCACACTTCGGGGCAGATAGTGCCACTGCTGAACAGCTCTGAGAGTCAACTTTGTGTCAAGTGATTATCATGTCCATGAGCCCCATACCTTAGGTGGTCTGGTCAAAAGACCCTCTGAAGCCCAAGGAAGAGGGGCTATTTACTTATTGTCCATGCCAATGAGGTTCTGTAAAGTCCATTGTTTAGGAATGATGACCCAAGAAGTCTTGCAACACCTGGACCCTGAGATGCTGGGCATAGTTCATGAACAGGTCACTTTGCTTAATATTTTATATAGACATACATAGACAGTATAAATGGGAATATGGGCTATATGCAGAGTTTATATGGGGGAAGGGGGAACATGCAGGGTCAAGGAAAGATCCGCCTTGGTCACCCAGAGTCCATTCATGGTGATATAAAGTCACTGAAGTCCATTCATGAAACAGGAGGTTTATTCATAAAAAAGGAGTCCAATTCATAAAAGTAACCAAATTGGCCTGATGCTGGCCTGAGTCACAGGGGTGACACATGAGGGGCTTTCTGGGGTCAGTAGGCACCATGGGGCACAATTCCGAGGCGACATACACAAGAAAGAAAGGACACACAAACATTGTTGCCATGCAGGACCATGGGACCATGTAAAACGTCTTAAATTCCCATATGGGGGTTTTGGACAGGAGGAATGGATCTGAGGGGCATAGGGGTCTGTTCAGCAGAGGGTAAGATAGCAGTTAGTCTTATAATTCATCAGGGAAGAAGATGGCACCGATTTGGAGCAGTTCGGTTAACTCGCGGATACCGAGACCATGTGGGGCTCTGTATCCGCGGTTTAAAGAAACACAGTTTCAGGCTACCCGGGACGCTGCTGGAGCATCCCGGCTGAGCCAGCAGGGCTCCACGGCTTGGAAGTGGGAAAGTTCATGGTTGAAGCAAAGTTAGAGTCAGTAAAGGACACAATGTATCACTTCAGAGAGGAAAAAAGGTACTTTTTATTGGGGTGTTGCTACAAAGAGGCTAAGCGAAGTTAGCAGGGAGGGAGGGAGAGAGTTTTTGTTGAAGCTGTTGCTGGTGCCACTGTCCTGCAGATACTTGAAATCTCACGCTCCCAGAAACTGCGGAATTCCCTGCTGCGATCACATCAGTTTGAAGGCAGGGGTCGCCGTGTTCGCTGTAAATGTCCTTTGACCAGAAGCTGGCCACTTGGAGTGCCTCTGGTGTTGCTATAAGAACAAGATAGGGTTCTAATCTGCATTTGAGTAAAAGGACCAGGTTATCTGCCCCAAGGCCACTGTTTGCTGGCCACGTTCTCATTCGTCTCAGCAGCCTCTTTAATGACGGACATCACAAGCGCGTTTCGCTGCTGCTTTTCTGTCTGTTGCTCAGATCCTGGGTGATCCTATAGACAGAAAGGAGGTGTTAGAAGGGAAGGGAAGAGCCATGGCTTCCGTACTGCACTTTGTCCTATTGGAACGACTGCACCAGCAGGCACACATTTCACCAGATTGTAAGAGTGTTCCCTGCACTTCTTACACTGTTTTGCACTATCCCATGCCCGGTCCTTTTTACAGCCTGATCATTTCCATCTTAGTATTTCTGACTATTGGTTTTTATCGTCATGCTTTGTTTGAGTGAGTCTTAATGCTGTTGTTTTATACCCTTATGTTTTTTTTAATTGCGTTTTATTTGATTGATATGCTTTGCTATGTTTTATTTTAATCTTTTTTTTGTTTTGTTTCAATGGATTGTTTTGTTTTAATGGATTGTTTTGTTTTGATGTTCTGTGGACATTTTGTCCCATGTGTAAGCTGCCTCAAGTCCCTTTGGGAAGATGGAGGCAGTGTATAAAAATTAAGTTGTTGTTGTTATTATTATTATCATCTATCACACGCCCATAAATAAATCTATCTAAGAAACTAGAGCTGATGCGGTCTATCCAATGGCCGAAATAACAACAACAACAAATGTAACAACCCCAGGAACAAACCTAAAAACCAAATAATAATAATAATAAGAAGAAGAACAACAACATAAATGTAACAACCCCAGGAACACACCTAAAAACCAAGAAATAATAATAATCATCATATAACAACCCCAGGAACAGACCTAAAAACCTAGAAATAATAATAATAATCATATAAAAACCCCAGGAACAAACCTAAAAACCAAGAAATAATAATAACAATAACAACAACAACAATAAATATAACAACACCAGGAACACACCTAAAACCCAAGAAATAATAATAACAACAACAAAACAACAACAACAACAATAATGTAACAACCCCAGGAACATGCCTAAAAAACTAGAAATAATAATAACAACAACAACAACAATAATAATGTAACAACCTCAGGAACAGACCTAAAAACCAAGGAATAATAATATTAACAATAACAACAACAATAAATGTAACAACCCCAGGAACACACCTAAAAATCAAGAAATAATAATTATTATTATATAACAACCCCAGGAACAGACCTAAAAACCAAGAAATAATAATAATGATAACAATAATAATAACAAGAACAACAACAATAATAATGTAACAACACCAGGAACACACCTAAAAACCAAGAAATAATAATAATAACATAACAACCCCAGGAACAGACCTAAAAACCAAGAAATAATAATAATGATAACAATAATAATAACAAGAACAACAACAATAATAATGTAACAACACCAGGAACACACCTAAAAACCAAGAAATAATAATAATAACATAACAACCCCAGGAACAGACCTAAAAACCAAGAAATAATAATGATGATGATAATAATAATAACAAGAACAACAATAATAATAATGTAACAATACCAGGAACACACCTAAAAACCAAGAAATAATAATAATAACATAACAACCCCAGGAACAGACCTAAAAACCAAGAAATAATAACAACAACAACAACACCAACATAATAATAATAATAATAATAATAATAATAATAATAATAATAATAATGTAACAACCCCAGGAGCATGCCCAAAAACCTAGAAATAATAATAATAATCATATAAAAACTCCAGGAACAGACCTAAAAACCAAGAAGTAACAACAACAACAATGTAACAACCCCAGGAACCCGCCTAAAAACTTAGAAATAATAATAATCAGCATATAAAAACCCCAGCAACAAACCTAAAATCCAAAAAACAACAACAATATAACAACAACATAACAATCCCAGGAACTGGCCTAAAAACCAAAACACTAAGAAATAATAATAATAATAATAATAATAATAATAATAATAATAATTTATTACCCGCCTCTCCTTTAGACATAGTCAAATGCATCTATTCAATCACATATTGAAACATAGTGAATAGTGGAAGTATAAAAGCACAAAACATACACATACACATATTATTGAAAATGCAATGGTTGATTAATTGTTGTTATTGGGTTGCTGTGAGTTTTCTGGGCTGTGTGGCCATGTTCCAGAAGCATTCTCTTCTGATGTTTCTCCCACATCTATGGCAGGCATCCTCAAAGGTTGTGAGATCAATTTGAAACTAAAGTGGGTTTTAAATATCTGTGGAATAAAATCCAGGGTGGGAGAAAGAACTCTTGTCTGTTTGAGGCAGGTGTGAATGTTGTGATTGGCCAGCTTGATTAGCATTGAATGGCCTTGCAGCTTCAAAGCCTGGGGGAATCATTTGTTGGGAGGTGTTAGCTGGCAGTTGGAAACTAGGCAAGTGGGGTTTATATATCTGTGGAATTGAAGGATGCTAAGCAAGGGGCTTTGAATGGAATTAACAGCAAAAGAGAAACATACCCTTTCTCTGACTTAAAAAGAGCGACACGGAAGAAAATGTTTTTAAGAAACAAGAAGTGACATGAAGAGGTTGGCAGTTGTATTGTGGTTAAGTTCAAAGGTTGTTTTTTGAAGCGCAGAGTCTGCAGGTACAAGAAGGTACTTTCCATCAAAAGGTCAAGGGAGGGGGCTGGAAAGAGAGTACTTTCCATGACAAAAATAATGTTCTTGTTTACTTGAGGTTATATATTGGTGGTAAAAAGCCAAGAAGAGGCGGCAGTCACTTGAAGGGTAGCATCTGCGCATGCTACCAGGCTGTCTGATTTCTTCATGAAGAAATTAAAATAAACCTTGGTTTTGATCTTTTTTGGGACTGTCTCTTTCCTTACGTGTTCCCGTGACTGCAAGGACCTAAGAATACCCAATGTAGGGTCTCTAACAGAATAACGTCCAGGGTGGGAGAAATAACTCTTCTCTGCTTGAGGCAAGTGTGAATGTTGCAATTAGCCACCTTGAGGAGCACTGAATGGCCTTACAACTTCAATGCCTGGCTGCTTCCTGCCCGAAGGTATCCTTTGTGGGGAGGTGTTAGCTGGCCCTGACTGTTTCCTATCTGGAATTCCCTTGTTTTCTAGCCCCGGAAGTTGTAGTTTTACAAGGCGTTTAGCCGTCTCTTCCTGGTGCCTCACCGAACTTGTTGTTGTTCATTCATTCGTTCAGTCGTCTCTGGCTCTTCGTGACCTCATGGACCAGCCCACGCCAGAGCTCCCTGTCGGCCGTCACCACTCCCAGCTCCTTCAAGGTCAGTCCAGTCACTTCAAGGATGCCATCCATCCATCTTGCCCTTGGTTGGCCCCTCTTCCTTTTGCCTTCCACTTTCCCCAGCATCATTGTCTTCTCTAGGCTTTGCTGTCTCCTCATGATGTGGCCAAAGGACTTCAACTTTGTCTCTAGTCTCCTTCCCTCCAATGAGCAGCCGGGCTTTATTTCGTGGAGGATGGACTGGTTGGATCTTCTCGCAGTCCAAGGCACTCTCAGAACTTTCCTCCAACACCACAGTTCAAAAGCATCGATCTTCCTTCGCTCAGCCTTCCCTAAGGACCAGCTCTCACACCCGTAGGTTACTACAGGGAACACCATGGCTTTGACTAGGCAATGGATCTTTGTTGCCAGTCTGATGTCTCTACTCTTTACTATTTTATCGAGATTGGACATTGCTCTCCTCCCAAGAAGGAAGCGTCTTCTGATTTCCTGGCCACAGTCTGCATCTGCAGTAATCTTTGCACCTAGAAATACAAAGTCTGTCACAGCCTCCACATTTTCTCCCTCTATTTCCCAGTTGTCAATCATTCTTGTTGCCATAATCTTGGTTTTTTTGATGTTTAGCTGCAACCCAGCTTTTGCGCTTTCTTCTTTCACCTTGATTAGAAGGCTCCTCAGCTCCTCCTCGCTTTCGGCCATCAAAGTGGTGTCATCTGCATATCTGAGGTTGTTAATGTTTCTTCCAGCAATTTTCACCCCAGCTTTGCATTCATCCAGCCCCGCACATCGCATGATGTGTTCTGCATACAAGTTAAAAAGGTTGGGTGAGAGGATGCAGCCTTGCCGTACGCCTTTCCCAATCTTGAACCAGTCTGTTGTTCCGTGGTCAGTTCTGACTGTTGCTCCTTGGTCCTTGTACAGATTCCTCAGGAGAGAGGGAAGGGGGCTTGGGATGCCCATCCCACCAAGGACTTGCCACAATTTCCTGAATTCCATATTTTTGGAGGGGAGGGGAATTGTTGATTCACAATGTTTTTGGCCTTGCCTGCCAAGGAATGCTGGTTATTTCGTTGCATTGGGACCTACAGCCCCCAGGATCCCCTAGCACTGACGCATGGCAGCTAACGCGCTATCGATCTGCGTTAATTCTACCGTGCAGATGCACCACTCACCTTTGCCATTTCCTTCCTGCGCGTTTCGTCCGGGGCTACGGCGAACCAGAGGCCAACCCCCAAGCCTGTCCATCCCACCACGGCCAGCAGCCCCTTGGCCGCACGATACGCGGTCCCCATAGGAAGAAAACGAGTAAGAAGGACGGGGGAAGAGTAAAGGTGCGACACCAGCCTCGAGTGGGAGGAGTGTGCGGCCCCTTTAAAAATAAAGACATCTCCCCTTCCAAGCCCATACGCAGTCCAACCAGCAGGTGTCGCTGTTCGCTAACTTGCTCCACGCGGAGGCTTGACGCAATGGCTCATTCTGATGCCAGGTGTCCAGAAGGATGGGCTGCTGTGTGTCCCAATTAATATCTATGTATCTGATAACACTGTTCTACACATTT